CTCACACATTCACAACAACAGAGGACACTGCCAACCACATACCACAACCCTAACAATCCTACACAATAGTTTTCACAGTAGTGAAATCCTAGCAAAACTGGCTTCTAAAATATATAGAGGGAGGTAATCTCATTTAAAGGAGAAAAAAAACACACTCCAGATTAATTTTTATTATGATTATCATCACCACTAATATCTAATCTGCACCCAAGGAGAATCCACTGCTACTCACAAAAAACAAAAAAATACAAATAACAGCATATCAAAAAGCATGAAGAATAAAAAGTCACATAATAAACAAAAGCAGTGATAATGGTATCAGATATCTAATCTAAGAATGGTCATCACAATTAGGCATTAAATTTAGATATAACACTTTCTGGCAGCAAAAATTTAACAACAGCTCATGTTATAGTTATCATATATTATACTGTAATATAAACCAGACCAGTTAATGAGAAGAGAAAAATGCTTTTCTAACACTTCCTTATATGAAGCATATATTTGATTTTATGTTCTATATAATATCTAACATAACGCTGCTGTTCAAATGTTTAATAAACATCCCAACCAATCATATACCTAAATGACCTGAAAGTTATGTCTAGACAATCAGATTAAGGTTGACTTTACTTTTCTCTCTCTCCTTCTCTATCTCACACACACCCACGGCCTAGAGGAAAGCTGTTCAATGCCTCTCCCAGTACACCCTCCACCCTCTTCTCCACCCCCACTCCTGCAGGGAGGAGGGAGAAAGCTCAACAGGATAGTACACTATTAGAGTATATTTTTGTAAGATTACAATCCAAAAAATTAAAATTCAGACAAAAATTGTACAAGACTTTATTAAAGACAAGTACAAGATACACTGAAATGTCATTCATACTAAAAGACTAACAAGATTCAATATGGTCTCACTTAAAGTCACATAACCCCCACAGAGCTTTACACACAGTAGATGCCCAGAGTAAAGGGCTCCTGAATACATGACTGCAATAATGGATTATGGGTATAAAAACAGCTTCTTCCCAAAAGGGCATATTCAAAGGCACCACAAGAGAGGCAAGTGGCACAACTACAGAAGGAAAATAAGAGAACATGAGAATCACCTTCTACTGCTTTCTCCATAAGGAAGTCAGAAAGAAGTACAACTGCACACAAAGGGGTATTCCTCAAACTCTAAGAAATGAGAAATGATGAATGGCCCAAAGTAAAGAAAACGGTGGGAAGAAATGTTAAGCCACAGAAGGGCTATCTCACCATCAGTCAAAAAGAATTCCAAACCCACCCACTCACATGAGACTACACTAGCATAAACAAAGATCTAAACCAATGTTTCCTGACTCTAAGAATGGGCTTTTTTAGGGGGGAAGTCTATCATAGCCAGAGCCTAAAAACTAAAGAAACAGAAAATGTGGCTGAGCAGGATGTATAAAGATGTCTCTAAAAGCAATTAAGAACAACAATGCTACACTTTGAACAGGAAAAGCTGACCCAATCTGACCTTGAGGAAAGGCTGCCCTGTACATGTCAACATTCTGAATACACTGAAAAATGAGACAGAGCAACCCAATGTTTCCCAGAAGCAGGGTAAGACAGGTCTTCAAGAAGACAAGGGAGAAGCAGCCACCGAAACTTGTCCCAAAATCTGGGAGATAAGAGGAGAAAGACTGATGTTCTAGCAGAAAACCAAACAGAAAAAAGGAAAGTGGTTAAGAGAACCCATGAAGGCTGGTTATCTACAAAAGAGCACCTTGCACTGGGGGAGTAGGAGGAAAAAGCCATTTCCAATCATCTATGGAGCCCAGTGACACAGAAAGCACAACTGTACTCAACTCAAGGTTGAGAACCCAACTTTAGACAGTAATATCCAGCACATTCCTGACTAACATCCACCACTCTGCCTTCCACTGTCCCAGTAGGGAGCTCCTTGTTCCACAGCGAAGACTCCCAAAGGCAGGCAGTGGCCTAGAGAAGGGCAAGAAAGACCTACCATGGGAAATGAGATAACTCTTCTGGGTTTACGCCAACATACACAGCAGGTATTTGACTTGATTTTTCTAAGACTAACATTACCCCTAAAATACACAACTCGATCAAGCTGATTACAGATACAGTCAAAACAGCTTAAAAACTAAAAGAAACTCAAAAAGAAAAGCAAAAAGGAGGTCAAAAGCTCTTTCTGCCAACAGTTATCATACTCAATGGACAGCTCAATATTAACTGAATGGCAAAATCCAGCAGTCCAAACCCAGTGCTTATATCTTCTTACTCAGGAAATCAAGGTTGAGTCTCCTTGCTAGGAAAGTGCTCCAAGGTCCAATTCTCACAGCCCAACAAGCCCACTGAGGAGAGTAAGTATCCACACTAAGCCTGTCAAAAACACAGACTTTACTTCAGAGTGACAGCAGGGAAGGAGGGATGAAGACCAGGAGGTAAAACTCTAACCAGAGCCCAGCCCACAGGGCTCTCACCATTCCCCTTCCCCAGAGGAGAGGGGAAAAAAAAAAAAAAAAAAAAAAAACCTCAGGAATAATCCTCCTACCCTCTCAGGAAGTGGCAAGGGCCTTTCCAAATGTACCTTTTCCTAATTTAACAGCCTCTCTCCTTATTAAATGGCCAAAATCCAGCAGGAATGTGTTTATGTGGCCTTTCCTTCCTAGTTCTGTCACAGAGAAACAGATTCTTCTCACCCATTTCCTATCATTTGCCCAAAACACAGGAAACCTCCCTCCCCTACACTGCAATAAAGAAAAAAATATAAGAACTTTTCACCCCATGGAGAAAAAGCAAAGAATACTGCCCCTAAATTCCGAATGCTCATCCACAAGCACTCTACGTTTCACATAAGCAGGGACATGGTGAACATTCAGGATGTCATTCTGCTTATTCAGTACAGTGCAAATGACAAATAAAAGAGTGGTGAAAACTGGCCATTTATCAGTGATTCTTCTTTTGATTCTCCTAAGCCTGAACAGTTACCAACAAAAGTAATATATATTTATATTCTTGCATGTTAACAGTCCCCTCACACACCCGAAGTGTAGAGCTAGTCACCTAATCCTTCTTTTTCTCTATATATGTAAAGAATATTATTTTATCTTTGCATACAGACCTATATGTATATATGTCAACAAATGAGTACAGCATCAAGATGATCTGTTTCACCAAAGAGAACCAGAGCAGCAGAAAATAGAAAGCATTCAAATTTCCCATTTGCCTAAAAGGTACAAAATCCAAAGAAATGTTTGGATCCCACAAGAGACACTACCAGGGCCAAAGGAAGGTTCTAGTACAACAAGGAGCACACAAGCTACCTCTTCCCGAATGGCACGTGGGCGACATGGGTGTCTACACTCCCTATTCTGGATGGAAAGGCATATGGCTTCTCCTTACCCAGCCAACATGAATACAATTTGAGAAAATTAGAAAAAGTCAAGGTAACAGGCTCACTAAATATGGCTGACTAGGAAACAGAAGCCATAAGGAGGATATGAGTCCTCTCAAAAGAGAAATTGGAAAGTTTATTTCCAGGGTAGGTTCAAAGACACTTGAGTGTGGGACGTTCAAAGTCTGGTTCCTATTGCACAGAAGACAGTAATCAGAACACCAAAAGCCAAGTGCACACGACTCTTCTCCCAGTGGGATAGTGTCAACTGGTGAAGGTTGACCCCTCCGAAGATGCGAGAATCAACTAGAAGCAAAAATTACACCTTTGTTTTCCTCCGACATGGGAGTAATTGTTGTGTCCCCTTTTTACTCTAGTGCTAGGCACAACGGAAGCCCTGTCCTACATCTCATTAGGGCACCCACCCTCAAGACTGGGAACTCCAAGGAGAAAGAACACGCCAAGGTACATAGACAACTGGAGAAAGGAGCACTGACCATCCAGTTTTCTACCTAAGAAAAAGAGGGCAATTCAAAGGGTATTCAGGAAATGAGCTCACCCTAACCCAGGAAAGTGTGCGGAGAGTGCACACAATCTGAAGAAGTGTCTGCTCTCCCATTTAGAAATGACTTCAGAGCTGCACAGGCCCCCAGGATCACTGGGCGAGGAAAGAACAGCGGTGGCTCGAGTCCCCGAGTCCTGGCAAAAAGGGTCAACAGACAGAGTGCAGAGGCCCCAAAAGGTTCCATGGAAGGGAGAGGCTCAGACGGACCCCTATGCCAAGCGACGATCGGGGTCACCGAAGGTAAAGGGCAAGGGAGTGTGGAGAGCCTCACTAGCCACCGAAACCGAGACCCCACCCTCCAGGCTGCGAGGGTGCAAGGGCAAGAGTAGGATGTGCAGGGCGGTGAGGGGCGGGGATGCTGCGCAGGCCCCCTTCCCTCCCCGAGAGGCGAAGGGGGAGGGGTCACACGAGGCCCTCGGCCGAGGCACGCTCAGCGGGAGAGGGTCCCCCTGGCGGGGACAGGCGCGGGGACCCCCGCCTGCCGGGGAGGCGTAGGGGAGCCGGAGGGGGCTGCCAGAGTACGTCCGGCCCTGCCCGCCGCCGGGAGCAGGCGGCCCGCGAGGGCTGAGCGCCGCCGCTGCCGCCCGACGGGGAACGGCCAGAGCGGCCCGGCCGGGGCCAGGGGCCCGAGGCGGATAAACTTTCCGCCCCGCGGCCCCCACCCCGGGCCCGGCGCGAGGGGCGCGGGCGCCGTGAGCTCGCGAGCGGCGGGGATGCCCGGTCCGGGTGGGGGAGGCGCCGGCCCTCCGCGGCTCCTCCTCCTCGCTGGGCCCGGCCCCCGCCCCGCGCGCCCCCCGCCCCCCCCCCCGGCCCAGCCCGCCCCCGGGGGTGGGGTGAGGGGCGCCGCGCTCCGTCGCCCCGCGAGTCACCTCAGGACTCGGCCGCGCTCCGCCCCCCCCAACCCCGCCGGCCCCCTCCCCGGCCGGGGCGCCCGCCCGCCGCGCCCCCGCGCTCCCGCCCGGCGCCGCCGATGCCCGGGATGTCCGGCGGGGCCGCGTCCCGCCGCCCGCCGAGCCGCCCCCCGGGCCCTCGCGCTCCGGCTCTTACCTTCCGGCTTGTTTTCGGCAGCCATTTCCCCTCCGCGCGCCACATCCTCCTCCTCCTCGCGACCGGGACCCCGAGCGCGCGCCTCGTACCGCCGCCGCCGCCGGCCCAGCCACCCCGCCGCCGCCGCGCACCCGCCCTGGCCCCGCCCCGCGGCCCACGCACAGCGCCCATTGGACCGTGGGACTGCCACTCATTGCTCCCGCCGCCAATCACCCCGCATCAAGGGTCTCACTACTCTCCGGGAGGAGCGTCCTATCCATCTGACCCATTGGCTGGTCACCACCCCACGGACTAATCTTATTGGTCAAGAACCAACGCCCCCTCCCCACCCACTCCCAGGAAAGCCCGCCTTCCAGACCTAAACAAAGCTTTCTAGTGGTCAGGGCCTGAAAGAACGGTCCAATCAGAGTGGGGCCGATACGGAATATTTCCTCGAGGCCGGAACGTGGCATTTTCATTGGGCGTCACTACAGTGTTTCCCAAGCCGTCCAGACCAATCAAAGGGGGTTCCCGGAAATCGGGAGCGGCGGAGGGAAGCCCCGCCCCCGAGCGTGACCGTCATGAGGAAGGCGCTCGCTCATTGGCGCGCTAGGGCTTTTCCCGCGTGCTCCCGGGGCTGAAGGACGTTCCCGGGGAACCCGCTGCCGGCGCGTGGGGTCCCGGTGGCAGTGCAGGACGCGCCGGGATCCCGCAACCTGCCACAGCAGCTGGTGTTGGCCCTAGGGGCCTCGGCGTGGGGGTCCTCCCGGGCGCCGCGCTTCCCAGCCCTTCGGCCGGGAGTAAGGGCAGCGCTGCCGGCCGCCGGGAAGGGCCGCGCCTCCTGCCAGGCCCCGCCCGACCCGGTCACCGGCGCCCCGCCTCCTCGGCCGCCGCGTCCCCACGGCTGGGGGCGCGGCCGCCTGCGCCCGCCTTCCACGCCCGCCCCCGCTGTGCTCCGATGTCCCCTTTTCTAGCGCTTAAAATACAGAAACTTTATTTTGGTCACGTTGCCCATGTGACCGACGGAGCGATGAGTCATAGATGCCTGTCCCAGGATGAGGCCGCTGAGCGAAACCTTAGGGACGTTAGACCTCGGCGCGCCTGGCTGGAGGGCGAGGTGACACAAGTTTCCTTCTCTCCTTCCAGCCGGGCTTTAATGCAAGGCTTTTCCAAATGAAGGTTTCGGCGCCCACTGCTTTCGCGCCAGGTGCGGGATGCTGCTCTGCGAGCAGGGTTTTAGTGGGGGAAGGAGAGCCTAAAAGAGAGGGCGGAGGAACGCAGCTGCAGCTCTTCTGGAAGCCTGTCCACACCTGGTGGACTAGCACACCCTGTGCAGAGAAGCCCCGATCTGGGCAAGGTGAGTTGCAACACTCAGCAAGGAAATGCCCCCCTCATCCTGGAAACAAAGGAGAGGGATGAAATTTCTGAGTTTAAAAAAAAAAAGAAAAGTTGAATGAAAAGCAGAGCTCCAACCTATCTCCGTGATCTTGTACAGTTCGCAGTGAGAATGTTTCATTCTTCCTCTTTTTCTTTTATTTTTTTTTCTTTTGCTACTGTCAGTGACAAGTAGCAGAACTAGAGAAAAGTCGTCGTTCAAGGATTTGGCCTTAAGAATTTTGTACCAATCCTAACGTGTTCTTTTTCTGGTCTTCACCAGTGAAAATTTCTTAGGTTTTCCAGAAATAAAGGTGAACCAAAAGAATGTTTTATATTATACACTCATTCCTCAACAAATTTTAATTTTATGTGTCTCAAAAATGCAAAATTTTAACAAGGGTACAATATTTTATCGATTTGCATTCTTAGTAGCACTATGTTGACAATTCGTGTGCTCAAACTTTTTTGAAAGTGCTGGTGGCACTGTAAATTAGTATAATCCTTTTGAAAAGCAATTTTACAATATGTATTAAAAGCCATAAAAATGTCTGCATCTTTTGACCTAGTAATATTACTTCTGGGAATCTATTCTAAGGAAATAACACTAGTGCCAAAAAGGCTAGATGTGCGAAGAAGGTATTCTTCACAGGATCACTGTATGTATTGTGACAAAAAAAATTGGAAGCATCCAAATATGCTATATTAGATATTCAATAAGTATAGTGTGTTAGAGCCACACAATGGAACATAATACTAGTCATTAGAAACAAAGAAAAGCTTACCCCATTGCTGAGAATGAAGGGGATTATTCAAAATTATGATATTCATTTCTAAACTATGATGTAATGATAGGTATAGAATACTGCATTTTGCAAAAGGACATAAAATACACCCAAAATGTGACATTTGGGAAATTATGGGAGGTTTTTCTTATATTTATTTCCAGTACTTTAGCCATAATATAGGCATGTAGCTTTTACAACTAAAACAAATACTTAAATTAAGGGATAATTTTAAGCCAGTGCAGTGGCATGTACTTGTAATCCCAGCTATTCATGAGGCTGAGGCAGGAGGATCCCTTGAGCCTATAAAGTTCAGGGCCAGCCTGAGCAACATAGCAAGATCCTGTTTCTTAAAAAAATAACATTGACTTTATCTGGTGCCCACTACAAGGCCAGAAGCTCCTGTTAAATACTGAGACTAAAGATGAATAAAGGTGTTTCCTTTCAAGGGGCTCACAACCTAGCATGTTAACAAGCATCAGGGCAAGTTATAGTGGGAATGCTGAAGAAAGTAATAATCACCTGAGTCACCTGAGCCTCCAGAGAGGATCACCATCACCATGGAAACCACTTAAGATAGATCCAGCACAGCGGTTCTCAAAGCACAGCCTAGGGACCTCAGTGGGGTACAGGAATCCACAAGGTCACAAGTATTTATATAATGATGATATGTCAGTCTCTCCAGAGTACAGTCACATTCCAGAGGCCACATAATGTGTGATCTCACAACAGGCTGCAGAAACAGAAAAGAAAATCCAGACGTGCCCTATTAAGTCAGATATTAGAGATTTACAAAATTGTAAAAACAATGCCACTCTAAAATTGCTGCTAATTTTTTTGAAAAGTTAGTAATTTCTCAAAAAATATGATTTATGTTTTCCTCGGTGGGTTTATTCCTTTTAAATGAACTAATGAATATTTTTAAAATTTATCAGTTTTCATTTCAAATACAGTACCTGTTTCTCAGTAAACAAACTCACATAAAGCAAAGTCCTTGGAGGTCCTCAATACTCTTTAAATGTGTAAAAAGATCCTGAACCAAAGAGTTTGAGAATTTCCCTGAGCTAGAGAATGAGATGTTCAGGAGGCTGGTTGGTGGTTGTGTGTTTTCTTGGGAGGATAATGAAAAGATGGGCATTTTAAGAAAAGGAGGTAGCCTGAGATGCTAAAGGAGCATATCTAAAAAGGGTGTAGTAAGATGTGCTTGGCTGGGGCTGGGGTTGTGGCTCAGCGGTGGAGCACTTGCCTAGCACGTGCAGGGGGCTGGGTTCAATCCTCAGCACCACAAAAAAGTAAAATAAAGGTATTGTATCCAACTACAACTAAAACAAAATATTTAAAAAAAAAAAAAAAGAAGAAGAAGAAGATGCACTTGGCTGGCACTACTATGAATCCTTGCCCATTTTGGCCCAAATGTTCCTCAGGCAAAGTGCATTACCATCCAGAAACAGAATCTATAAGATAAACAATAGGAATGTTATATCATCACTTTCTTACCTCAAAAATACATGTGGAAGAGTCATTCTTTCCAATCAGCTTTCAGAAATAAAGTGATTTTATTATTACTAGAGACGATAATAATCCAAGTGTTTGGACTTGTCTCCTTAAATTGGAAGTTACTGAAGCTTCCATATCACTGGACTGGGAGAGGAAAGTGTGGACCAAGCCCATTTTGGATGGTTAAAAACTTTAATGAGGGAAGTGCAGAATACAAGCTCATTTTCACCAAGCACAGGACAAGAAAGAAAATTTATTCTAGCTACACCTTCTTTTAGAACGAAAAGTTACAATATCCAACATTTCTATTTCCCAAGGATTTCTCCTCTTCCCTTTACTTAATTTTTAAAATATTGAGATAATTGTAGATATGCATGCAGTTGTAAGTAATAATTCAGAGATCCCATGTCCCTTTCCTTTCCAGATAAAGCATAATGAAAATGCATGGGTTTTGTTAGAACCAACCTTTCACCAGTCAGATACTACATGCTCCCCAGTTCCGCACATCTCCATCTTTCCTCTTCTCTTCACCCACCAGCCACCAGTTAGCAATGATATCAGCATGATTGTCAGAATGTCTACTGTTAGGATGTGAGAGTAAAGACTTGTCAGATAGTCCAAATAAAATGAGATATTTGAGGAGTTAGCCTGAATTTCAGCTCATTTAAAAAATAACATGAACATAAAAGTCCTGATTTGGAGGGCTGGGGATGTAGCTCAGTTGGTAGAGTGCTTTCCTCTCATACACAAGGCCCTGGGTTCAATCTCTAGCACCACATAAAACAAAAAAGTCCTGATTTGTGCTTCTGCTTCCTGACTTCTGTGAGGTGGGGAGCTTTCCTCTTCTACACCCTACCACCATGTTGGTCTGCCTTATTTGGGACCTCAGCAATAAAGTTAACTGGGGCTGGGGATGTGGCTCAAGGGGTAGCACGCTCGCCTGGCATGCGTGCGGCCCGGGTTCGATCCTCAGCACCACATACAAACAAAGATGTTGTGTCCGCCGAGAACTGAAAAATAAATAT